ACGCAGAGGTAGGAATACCTGACATGGGAAGCAGTAAGAGCCCCGGAGAGATTCAAGGAAGAACAACCAGATCTCGAACCAGAAACAGAACCTCTAGAAGAAGGAGAAACTCAGGAGAGACACAACTGCATCCCGAGGACATCCCTGTCCCAACCGATGATGAATTGTTTTGTCAAGCTTTCACCCTTGTGCAAAAGCAATGTTGGGAGATAAGCCTTAATCTGACTGACCAAGAAAGTAAGGAGCTGGAAGCCAAGAGGAATGCCTTGCGCATTTGGTAACCAATGCCCAGCGCCAGAAAGTTGAAGTCCGCCTGGCAGACCTGAGTCCTGTGAGCACGGTGTCAGCAGAAGCAATGTGGCTTGCAGGAGCTACCGACACACTAGAGTGGGTTTGCTTGTTCTGGGCCTGGGTCACAGACTCAAACTGCGAACGGCGTCTCGGTGACAAGACTGTGCGTCGTTTACCCAAAGCTTTTTCCACTGTTCGTGATGATGCACTCAATGATCCCAATGAATCGACGTGCCAAACCAAAGAGTTGATTGGAAGGATAGGTCCAAAAGAAGCATTCTTAGCAACAGATTGCAAGAGCCTTTTTGATTAGTCAACCGCGCAGCATCACCGTCGTGTTCCGAGTTCCAAACTTTATTTACTGCAAGCCAAACTGATAAAAGAGCACTTGGAAACTGGCATCAAAATCCGGTGGGTCCGTCAGGTGCCCAAATTGCAGATTCGTTGTCCAAGATCATGGTCAACACGGTCCTTAGAGAAATTCTTCGTATAGGACCCTACAAGCTACAAGACGAAGAAGAATTGTTGAAAGCCCGTGCCGACACCAGAACCAGAATCAACATGCCTGAAGAGCTCAGAGATACTTCAAAAGTGGGACGCTCTAAGTTGAGCGTGCCACAAGTTCTACTAGAAGAAAGTCTTCATAGCGCTCGAGAAATCCTTTTTGTGAGATCCTATGAAACGGGAAATTTTTCGTGTAAGACTTGTGAAAGAAGATCTCAAAGTTCGTTGCACCTTGCCCATCATTAAATACTATACTGTTTGCCGACGGAGCCAGCAATGCATGTTTTTGGTCGTCAATGCACCTTGGATGGATCAAGCTGTCAACATGCTGGACCAATAAAAACAAATAATGGGTATGTCGAAAGAGCAACCAGGTCGCATGTTGACTCGTGCGCCGTGATTCCACCGGAATCTGTTCGCACCCAAACACCGGGGTGGGCAAGGTGAGGATGTGCTCGAGCCATGGTGAGGTGAAAAGCACTACGGGCTTGGAAGCGGTTGTTTGGGCCCTGTGGACAGGGCAACCGTTGGTTGATTGTGGACAATCAGGTGGATTTTGCTTTGGTTGAACATAGGAGAGGACTCCAAGCGTGACTCTTCTTTGAGGGACACAGCAGGGCTGTGAAGCTACCAGTCTTTTGAGAACTGGTAGCGCAATATGTAATATACACATATATGCATACAACTGCGTGCGCACACACACAGACACACACACATATATATATATGTATATCTACAGTATATTTATAGACGCACACACCCTGGGACGCAGCTCTTTAACATTGAACATTTGAACTAGAAAGACACTGAAACAAACCAAAATGTAAGGTCCAATTGCAACTGCGTCAAAACTGTCTTGGTAGCATGTCAACGCAAGCAAGGGTCAGGTGTGCGTGCTCCTCTTCTCGCCTTGCCACCGTGCTTGAAACGGAGCGCGTGGTCATGAGGTCTGCGAACATGAACTCACGTGAGGCAGGTTAATGGGAACGTATCCCATGGATGCTGATGTTTGCAAAACCTTGAGCGCAGCATGCTTGCATTCTTGCCGGCAAAAAACTTCAATCAAGTACCCTACATACTTAAGATGCGCGTTCAACATGTCAGCTGGCACACCTTCCGCGCCAATCTGAACTCGAAGCCGTTCCCTGTGAGATGACAGGTATCATGAATTTGTTTGGGTGAGTCTTTTGTCACATTAGACTGACACGACTTCACATAGTAGAGGTCATACTCAAGCATGTTTTAACAGTTCTGGCGTGGCTGGACAGAAGCCTTGCCAGAATCAGGCCGCCGCGCAGCTTGATCTCCTTTGCAATGACACCAGCGATACGAAGCGTAAAATTCAACAGTGCATCGACCACAAATCAGAGGAGACTCCATGGCCTATGAATTGTTTAGACATGTTTAGACTTTAGATTCTTAGATGGATCGAAGAGTCGTCCTGAACAGCTTGTGACAGAAACAAGTTGCTGCAATGTCCTTTGCCCCTGCGAGAAGCACCTTTGGATCTCTTTGCCTTTGGCGGCAGTGGCAACGAAAAGACTCCACAATTCTCGAAATCTACACGATGATCACCAACAAGTGTTGCCTCCAATGATCGCTTGTACTCGTCCATTGTGACCATCCCTTCTCCTCCTTGCAGGATTGATAGACTGTAACAAATAGTTGACCCTGAAAGGCAAGCAACCTTCATTAATTCCCACCTGTTTCATGCACTTTTGAATCTAAGAATACACTGATCTCGTCCGCGGATCTGACCTGAATGAAACCATAAGACGATGATTCCCCGAACAAAAACCCTCTGACCTGCTAACCACAGGGCACTTTCAACAACCGACCTCGTAGACACCCTTCTGCTCTCGATCCACGATTGGCATGGCGTCGCTGAAACACCTTCAGTGCACCAACACGGACCATGGCCCTCGGTGCTTTGGATCTTTTGTTCATATATTTAGCTCTACCAAACAAAGACTGGTCCACGCAAGTTGCATTCATATAGAGCCCTGGAATATATATATATATATATCTAATTTGCATCCCCCATGTGAGTTAGATAGTATAGGTAGTGCTGAGCCTGTAGAGGGTACCAGTTTTGCAAATCAGGTAGATTGCACATTGGCAAATAAAGACGCGACGACCCATTTGTAGAGTGTGTCATTTTGTGGAGCCAGCCAAAACCCAATGCAATGAAACTACTAAAATTTTTGGCAAGGGAAACACCAGAAACGTCACATACCGCCACTACAAAATGGCAGATGGGGCACTAGCAGAAACAGCACTACAAACTGGCAACTTTAGCACCCTATATAACAAACCATTCTCGAGGAACATTCGGGGGAGAAGCATGTGTTGAAATCCAAGATGTCTACCCTCCTTTGAGCAGTTTGGGTGGTTTGGTGAGGCAAAGGTGGCAGATTTGCATTCTGTAGAAGGGAGGGTGTCCTGCATTTCGAGATTTTGGAAAGGGAGACGTCACATACCAGCACTTCAAAAGGCAACTTCAGCACTAGCTACACAGCAGCCCACTCTTGGCAAATTTACTATTTTCGAGTGTGTCATTTTGCCGGTCTTGCGCGCATACCTTGTACCTAAAAACACAACAACAATCCTGCGTACCCCCAACCGGATCCTCCTGCGCAACTTTTTCTACAACATGCAACGTTTTCGACAAGATGCAAACCGGCGAGTTCAAAATATGGGAATGACCATATTTGTCTGCACAAAGCTTGGAAATGCAGGACAAGTGTTTACATTAAAAAATACATTATTGCAGTGGTCAACCCGTCCACTTTGCAGTGAACACATGCAGGGGATTAAGTTGCCGACGCGCTAGCGCTCATTGGAATTTTCCCATTCTCAATCGCAATGGTGGCAACCGAAGTCCACAAAGCGTCCGAGCGCACAAAAGAAAGCTCTTTATGGCTGCGAGTGTCGAGGTCGTCGCCTAGCGGTCTCAAGGGCCCTTCGGACAGAAAGATGCGACGGGAGTCGCACAACTGGAAAAGAATGTCCTGACAGACATGTTCAAAGCAAAATGCATTCGCATGTTGACACAGGCCAAAGCTTTTTATGGCCATCGAAAAACATTCAAAATTCAAGCCCTCATGACCGATTCAGGTCACTTCGAAATTCCCATGCTCCGCAGGCATGGTCAGGAAGGACGGTGGCTGTCCTTGTAGGCAAGGTGGTTTCTCCATCAAAACTCAACTTCGTTTGGACCATTTTGTCCTTGATCTCACCTTTCTCATTCAGGAACTGAAGGCGGTTGATCCTCTCAAGGGATTCAATGCGAGCCCTCTGCCTCACAATGCGCTGATTGCAATCCGCAAGGAAGCAGATGTTGTCATTCCACATCCGGTGCCATTGACGCACCTGGTCATCCGAGAAGCCTTGAGTTCGATCTGTTTTCAACAGCTCTCGGAATTTCCGCCAGCGCTGGGTCGTGTAGCCCTCGGTGGTCAGGATGAGGCGCGTCTGATCATCCAAGGCGCTGTTTTCATCATTCAAATCTCTCAACAACTTCCTCCAAGCGCTGGAGTTGGGTTCATCTTCAACTTCTTTGAGAAGCTTTTTCCATCGGTTGTACTCCTCATCTTCAAGCTCGCTGTCAGAGTTGCAAGTCGAACTGCCGGTGTCGATGCCCGGTCTGTAGTCGATACCTGGTCGTCTGGAGAGGGCCAGGATTTGCTCCATCACCTCTTCACGATGTTGAGGCAAGGTGCAAGTTCGGTCATTTTTCTCGACCGTTTCTTCTTTTTCATTCACTTCATTCTTCTTCCACAGAACCATTGCCTTCTCGAGGAAGAGATTGTAGATCTTGTAGGTCATGTGCTCCAGGCCAATGCATGCAAAGAAAACCAAAACACCAACAGTGAGCCAAAAGCGAGTGCCGAGGTAGGACTCAGGGATGTGCTCATCGTTCTCGGTGAGGCTTCCTTCAACAACTGGCATTTCATTCGCAATCAAACAAGTTACAGCCGACATGGCTGCCGTTCTCCAAGCATCATGCCTTTGACCTTGTCGATGGGCATGGAGGTAGAAGTGGCGCCTGGAGCAGAACTTGTTCTTTGGATTGGAGGCATCACATGTTTTCTCACAACCAGGAAGGGCGCAAAGGTGGCCATCTTTCTCTTCAAGCGTGAAGATCTGGTTTTCGAAGATGTTTTTCGATGCCTCTTCATGTTCTTTTCTTTCAGCTTCTTTCTCCTCATAGGTGACCTTCTTGGCGGCGATGAAGTCCGGCTCAAAGCTCAGCTTATGAGTTCCTCGGTTCAAGACATAGGCCAGGTTGTCTTTTGCTGCCGGCTTTGTCAAACCATCAGCTATTTGTTGCTGTGAGTTCACCCAAAACCATCGTCCATCAAGAGCTGACATTCGATCCTTCACTATCGCAACTTCGATTGCAGTGCGGCGTTCACTCAACTTCATGCCAGGGGTGATGCTTCGAGCAGCGTCAAACAAGGATCGAGCATCGGTGGCAAGTGGAGACGTGCCAAACTTCCTGAGGGCCTCAGTTGAACCAATGTCCAAGGTGGGGTCCACCACGCAAGCCATGAAGATCTTACTCCATTCCAGCTCGTCAACAGCTGCTGCGGCGGCCTGGGCTTCAGCAGACAGAGAAGACCTGCAAATGCGCTGCAACTTCTTGGACTGCCACTGGAGTATTGTCAGCGGCATTGGTTTCTCTGAGCACAACTCTTCATGATTGCACAGGAAGACCAGCAGACCTCCCTGTGACGTTCCGTCAGGGCGAACTGCCCATGCAGCATCTGTGTATGCACCAATGCACAACGAAGAGATGTCGCCGTGGGCGTGGTAGGTCATCTTGTAGTCCTTGGTCACATTCTTTGCAAATCTCAACAGCTTGTTGGCCTCATTGATGTCCTTAATCATGGGGCTGCTGGATGCTGACTGCAAGATGCTGACACTGGCACACAGTTGTGGTACACATTGATGAGCTGGCCAGGCAAGTGCTCCTAGCAATGCACGAAGTTGTTTGTGCTCTCTGTCAGTGCAAGCATCGTTGACCATTGTTTTCCGTGACTTCTCCAAGCAAATCGGCTTCACCTTCTGACAGTATTGCTCGAGGGAAATCTGGATGGTCTCGTGGTTCAAACTCTGGACCACATCGGCTCCACAGAACTTCACTCCCAAACTCGAGCCAAAATCCCAACTGCCAAACTTGAATCGCCGGGAAAGTTTTTGAAGGCGGCCAGCAAAGGTGTTCTCATCATATTCGAACTCACCTGTGATGTCATTCAAAGTCGTGACACCTTCTCCAGCACCGATGAAGTCGTCCACGTGGAGGCCTAAGATGCCATCAACAATGCAATGCGTTCCATTGTATTCGAAGACGCAGAAGGGGTCATCACCACCGGCAGCTTGTCGCAAAGAAAGATACACACAGCGGTCGAGTGGGTGTGCAATCAAGTTCAACTCATGCAACAAGTACTCGTTTGCTGTGTTGTTCCATTGCCGTGGTGCACGAACATCTCCAAAAGCTGGTTTGCAGGCTTTCATGATTTGCCATGGCTTGAGGTCAATCTTTTTCTCGAGCAAGCGACGCATGTCAGCTGAAGGTCGGATGTAGATTCTTGTGGTTGCATCAATGCTATCCGCCTGCATGAAGGCTGACTTCACATCGGCTGACCAAAGCTTCCATCGCTTGTGAGTTGCCATGACATAGACAGAGTGTCGGCCAAGCATGGACAGAGTTGGAGATTCCCGCTCAAGCTCTTCGTTGAGAACATCCTTGTGCTTGAAGCCTTGGATGATGACGCGAGCATTAGCTTGTGGCCCTTCTTTTGTAGGCTTCCATCGTTGTAGAAACCTGGCTGGGATCACTTCACCATCACGGGCTTCGTCCTCATTGACAGGTCGCCAAGCATCATGATCAAACCAGACCTGCAAGGCTTTGCATCTCGCCTCCTCAAACAGCTGCTTCTCTGCAGGCGTGAGCTTCTTCTCGCTGAAGGCTTCAGCAACCAGGCTCTCATCGGCATTCATTTCATTGAAGCGGTTCTGGAAAGAGCGGTCATCCTCACCAACTGCAGGTAGGCCATCCAGAGTGCGTGCATCGTTGTAGGACTTCAGAGCGCTCTGCCTCAAGTTCTCGAAAGAGGCTGCACGTTCATCTCTGGGGATGGGACTCCGCGATCTTGCCCTGCTTTCATTTCTCTCTTCTGCTGTTGCTGTGGTTCGTGTTTCTGCAGCGGCGGCTGTTTGTGTGTCTGCAGCTGCCGCAACGGGTGTGTGTGGTTCTGTATCTGCAGCGGCGGCTGTTTGTGCTGCAGCTGCTTGTTGCTCTGACTTTGTCGTTTCTTCGCTTGTTTGTGTGTTCTGTTGTCCATTCATGTTGTCATCTTCTTTCGGCTCAAGCTGCTCATTCGCCATTGTTGGAGGCGATGTAGCTGACAACAAGGGCGCCTTTGCATTCGAAAAGGTGGGTCCGGTGGCAAGATCTAAAAATCGGACAGGACCCTGCACAGGAATCAAGGCATTGCGGACTCGATCACAAACAGGTTGTCGGAGAGCAGTTTCCGGCATAGCGTCCAAACGGGCCAGTCGCTCAGCAGGCACTTCTGCTCGAACACGCTCAGGGGCACAACGAACCAAGCTGCTTCCGTGGGCCAACCAATAGACATGAGGTCGGAGAATGCCGTCCTCTGTGGTGCGAGGCTCAATTGCGCACACGAGTCCAGGTCCGCGCCATCGATGTGCGTCGAGCTTGGTCTCAGGAGAACGCCAGTAGAATGCATAATCTCCCAGCTGAAGAGGTTCAAGCTCAGGTCGTGGGCGAGACAGAATGGAGCGCTTGAGAAGTGCATCATGATTGGCTTCGTAGAAAGCTTTGGATGCCAGATGTCTCAATGCATGATCTTGCTGAATGGCCT